ATTTCTAGCAAGGCCAAGGAAATTTTCCTCAATTATTCCCTCAAACAAATTATCCAACTCTTGTGTATTTTCTTAGTCACCTTTGGGGATGTCTATGATTCTTATGTTAGGCTTCTTTACATAATCTCGTTTCTTGTAGGCTTTGTTGGTTCCTCTTATTTCTCTGCTCTATTTCTGTGACTAACTTGTTTAATCAAAAGGTATTATCTTCAATCTTTGAGATTCTTTCTTCTGCCTGATCTAACCTGTTCTTAAGGCTTTCCACTGTGTTTTCTAAATCCTTGAATGGATTTTTCATTTCCAGAAGTTGCATTTGCTTTTTCTTTAATAACTAAATTTCTTTAGTGAATTTTTCATTCATTTCCTGCATTGTTTTTGTGCTTTCTTTGTGTTGGGTTTTTATTTTATCTTATATTCCATTAAATTTTCTTACAACCCATGTTTGAAATTCTTCATCTGTCATTTCAATATTCTGATTTTAGTTAGTATCCATTGCTAGGGAGCTGGTGTTCCCTTTTGGGGGTGACCTTTCACTTTGATTCTTCATACTTCCAGAGTTCTTTCACTGATTCCTTCTCATCTGGAGCAGACATTTGCTTCTCACTTTTGGATTTCTTTTTAGATAATGTCATGTCCAGTTTTATTTATGAGTCAGTAGCACACCTTCTATGATTGAGTCAGTAAATGCTGTGACTGGGGTGCAAATTGACCTCCCTGTCAGCAGGGGACATTTGCTGGAGGGAACAAGCTGCAGTGTTGTTTTTGGATCCTTTGACCCATTCTAATTCCTCAGGAGATTTACTCTAATGTCCCTGGGGAGGGGCCCTGGTACTTCCAGGTGAGACCTTATTCACCATCATAGCAGAGGTGGGTGGGGGAATTAGGCTGGGTGGAGTCAGGTTGCGTTAGCCTGTCTTCCAGCTCCACAAATGCTGGTAAGAGGTATGCAAGGAGTAAAGGACCAGTTCCCCACCTCTGGGGTAAACTGCCTGGGAGGAGATGAAGTGGCTCCACTCAACCAGAGAGTCTGCTGTCTAACCCCAGAAAACTCCCCTAGAAGGATGCTCCCACCAGGGGAAGAGTAGGACTTCAAGTAACTTTTGGATCAAGCTGAACTTCCTATTAAAGTGAATGGTGGCGGGGGGAGTGGGGGCAACTACTTGGATTCAGCCTGAGGCACTAGAGGCTTTCAGTTGCCATGGGAGCCAGTACTTATGCAAATTGAATCTCCCAGATTAGGTAAAATCCAATATGGCAGTTTTCCAGGGGAGGTGGGGAAGGGACACACTTACGGACCCCTGCTGTCCTGTGCTCCTCCTCACCTTCCCTATGGGCCTCTCACTTGCCACCTGACCCTGAGAGTGGGACCTCTCCCACATGCCTTCCTGCCCACAGCCTGGGCCAAATGTCTGGGGGCAGGAAGGCCACCAACTGAGGTTCCCCAGCCAGCTCAGCTCAGGTTGGAGACATGCCCCTGGTGCAGAATGGGAGTCACTCAGCACAGAGAACTCCAGCAGCTGCTATGATGGGGGCTCGGGGGGCATGGACTTCCTGTACTGCTTTTGAGTGGGAGTGGGGAAGCACCGGTCCACCCTTCTCTCTGAGCTGTGGCAGCAGCCACTCTGTCCAAGGCAGGCTCAGCTGGGAGTGTGGCTCCTCTCAGTCGCTCAGCCATGCGTGCACTCCCCTTTGCCCACGGCGTAGGTTTAGTCACTCAGCAGCAGGGTCAGCCATGGGTGTGCTCCCCCTGCCTGAGGCAGGCTCAGTCACTCCCCGTTGCCCAAGGCAGGTTCAGTCACTCAGTGTTGGGGGGCTCCCCAAAGCAATGGTGTTGGAGATGGGGCCTAATGACAGGTGTTTCGGTCATGAGGGCTCCACCCTCACGAATGGATTCCACCAGTGATAAAGGGCTTGAAGCTGTGAGCATGACTTCTTGCTCTCCGTAGCCCTCTCTTTTCACTTTCACTGTGGGATGATGCAGCAAGGACGTTCTTGCCAAATGCCAGCCCCTTGATCTTAGATTCTTCAGCCTTTTAGAACCATGAGCCAACAAATGTCCATTCACTATGAATCACCCAGTGGGTGGTATTCTGTGACAGCAGCACAAACAGACTAAGACATCCTCCTTACATTAACGGTGTTCCTGTGCCTTTGAGGAGTTTCTACTGGAGTCCCTGCCACTCTCTGTTTCAACCACCAACCTCAGCAAAGGCTGCCATTGCCACATCACTGCCCTGCCATACATCCCCTTTGGATTTGAGCATCAGAATTTAGCACTTCCTGCCCTTGGTCTTTCTCTCCTTCTCCTTCTGGCTTAGCTGAGGCTGTCCCTTCTCCCCCTACTCTTTCTGGACATGAGGAGAGACAGGCAGCAGCTGGCCACAGGAGATTGACCGAGGCTGCTGGCTTTAGGGATCCCGGGGGCTTGGGGGCCCAGAGCCAAGTTGCAAAGGGTAAGAGGCAGGCGAGTGATGCAGACATGGCAATAGCCTGGCAGTGATGCCTTTAAACAAGTGATGAACACCAGGGAAAATGTTCGTGGTTAAGAGGGGAGAGACTGTTGACAAGATTCAAGCAGGTTTGTGCATGGGGGAAGAAGCAAGAAGGGGGGAAGAAGTTGAAGGGGGAGAGAGGAACCAACTGGCCAAGTGAGGTTCTTGCTGAGGGTGGAGGGGACTCTGAGGCCAGGGAAGATGCACGAGCAGCCACTTGGGCCTGGCCACCCAGGGATGGAGGCCAGGGGAGCTTAGAGGCAGCCCTCATTCATGAGCCGGGTCTGACCCTGTGGGTGGGAGGAGGCCCAGCCCAGGGGAATCTGCCCTTCGGAACCTGCAGTGAACAAGGTCAGGACACTCTCAGGCTCTTCTGGAACCCAACTCGGTCAACTGGCTCCTTGGTTTCCTTTCCTGGATACAATTTCTTGGGCCATTTCTTTTTCCAACTTCTGTCCACAGTAGCTGAACCCTCAGCCCACCAGGGCTTCTTAAGCTTTTACTGGAACCTCTGTGTGTGTATCAGAATTCTTTTCCTGACAAGGGGCAGAAACTCAGTGCCAACTGGTTTAGGCCAAAAAGGGAATTTCTGGAAACTTGTCCAGTCCTGGGGGGGGGGGGGGGGGCGGTTGGTGGGGACAGACCGTGGCAGAACTGCAGTAAGAAACTGCTTCTGTCCCCTGCTCTCCTTTTCTCTGACTTGGCTTCTCTCTCCAGTCCAGCCTGCTCCCTGAACTCTGGAAATGTCACCACAGGTGCCCCATCTCCCATTTATGCCCCCAGACGGGCCCCTCTCTCCGGAGTTCCAACTTCAGGACTCCCAGGGAAGCCCTGTGGTTCGCCCGCCTGGGTCCCCGGCCTAAAGGCCTGGCTACTCTGAAGCATTCAGCTGGAATCCGTGCCAGGCCCCGGGAAGATGCAGGGGTGGGCGAGGGGAGCGAGAGGAAGACAGGGAGAGGGAGAAGGGTCCAGAAGCAGTGCGGGCTCCGAGCCCGCCCTGTCCACCGAGGAGAGCCCGGCGTTCGCACGGCAGCTGCCCTGCCAGGGGATGGCTTGGGTTGTACGACGCTCTTCCTTAAACTGAACCCTCCAGTCAACGTCCGCAGCAGCCTGGGACACCGTGCAGGTGTGGCGACCCGCCGGCGACCCCTAAGACCTCCCCAGCGATACCAAGTGAAGTCCGTTCGCTCCCCTCTCGTGCCGCGCCGCAGCGTCCGGAAACAAAGCTCCGAAGGCGCGCTCACGTCGGCGGGCGGGGAGCCTCCGGGACGGCGGGGCCCAGCCGTTTCCGGTCAGGGCCAAGCATGGAACCGCGGAACGGCCCCGCACTGGGGATCCAAAATGCACGCCCGCTCCTGCCCGCCCGACTCCTCGCCAGCGCCGTCCCCGCCCCCGCGTCCCAGCCCCACGCTGCAACCCTCTCTGGCCTCGGGCCCGTCCCTCGCGCCCGCCAGCCTCGCCCCTCCCACACCCCCGCGAGCGCTCGCCCCGCGCCTTCCCGCGAGGAGCGCTCGCCCAATCTCCCACCCCATCTCCCGCCCCGGCCCCCGCCCCACCTCCCGCAGAGAGCGCTCGCACCTCCCGCCCCACCTCCCGCCTGCGAGAGCGCTCGCGCCTCCCCGCCCACCTCCCCGCGAGACGCGCTCGCCCGCCCGCCCCCTCCCGCCCCACCTCCTCCGCCCCACCTCCGCGGCCCACCTCCCCGCCCCACCTCCGCCCACCTCCCCGCCCACTCCCGCCCACTCCCCGCCCACCTCCCGCCCACCTCCCCGCCCCACCTCCCCCCACCTCCCCGGCCCCAGCCCCCGCCCCACTCCCCGCCCACCTCCCCGCCCCAACCTCCCTGCGCCCCTCGCGAGAGCGCTCGCCCCACCTCCCCGCCCCACCTCCCCGCCCCACCTCCCGCCCACCTCCCGCCACTCCCCGCGAGACGCGCTGCCCCACCTCCCCCGCGGCCCGACCGCCTCCCGCGAAGCGCTCGCCCCACTCCCGCGCCCACTCCCCGCCGCCCACCTCGCCCGCCCCCACCCCTCCCCCGGCGCCCACCTCCCCGGGCCCCACCTCCCCGCCCCACTTTCCCCGCCCACCTCCCCGCCCACCTCCGTCGCCCACTCCCTGCCACCTCCCGTCGAGAGCGCCCACGCACGTCCCGCAATGGCGCTCGCCCCACCTCTCCCCCACCTCCCCGCGAGAGCCACGGCCAACCTCCCCGCCCACCTCCCCGCCCACCTCCCCGCGAGGCGCCCACGCCCACCTCCCCGCGAGAGCGCCCCGCCACCTCCCCGCAGAGCGCCACGCACCTCCCGCGAGGGCGCTCGCAGCCGGCCTCGCGCAGGGCGCCTGAACCGCGGCGGGTGCGGTCACAGTCCGACCCGGCGCGGCGGGTCACAGTCCGGACCCTGGGGCGGAGAAACCCGGGGGCGGTGCGGCCCAGGCGGCCGGCCGGAGCGGGCGGCGGACGGGCGGCGCGGGCGCGCTTCCATTGGCTGCGGGCCGAGCCTCCGTTTTCCGGGCAGCTCCGCGCCTGCCACGGCTGCTGCCGCGACTCTGTCTCGCTCCCGGCCGCCCCGCCATGGGCCTGGAGCTCTACCTGGACCTGCCGTCGCAGCCCTGCCGCGCCGTCTACATCTTCGCCAAGAAGAACGGCACATCTGTACCCCCATAACATGCTGAAATAAAAAAAAAAAAAAGAACGGCATCCCCTTCGAGCTGCGCACTGTGGAGCTGCTCAGAGCTGGCCCGGCCTCCCCGTGCGTCCGTCCGCAGACCCGGTGCGCCTCCCCCGCCCGGCCCTCGCCTGGCGCCTTCCCGAGCGTCCCCTCCCAGCCCCTCATCTCGTCTCCCACCGGAGAAGGCCCTCGACTCGGGGCCCTAGGACGAGCCACCGCCCCTCCGAAGCTTAGCTTGCTGCCCTCTGTGACGGCGGGTAATGTCACCCTCTGCTTTGTGGGGGTGGAAAGAAAATACTTGCCTGGGTTTTCAGAGTGCTGCGTCGAAAGCACGCATTTAAGTTCATAAAGCCCTATTTTAAAAAAGAAGAAGAAGAAATTCGCGAAGCCCTGGAGACCTTGGGAGAACTGCATGCGGCTGTGAGAAGGAAGAGATGGGGAGAGGCCAGCACAGTGGCTCGCGCTCTAATCCCAGCGCTTTGGGAGGCTGAGGCGGGAGGATCGCTGGGACCTAGGAGTCCGAAGTTACAGTGAGCTATGATTGTGCCACCGCACTCCAGCCTGGGCCACAGACTGAGACACTATGTATTAAAAAAAGAGAGAGAGCTGAGCCACCCACTCTGCTTCCTCCTTGTGGCCCACCCCGGTCCTGGCTAAATAACTTCTCTTCACCCACCAAAGCCCCTTGGCTGCCCCAGGACGTGGCAAGGCTGGGTGGGAGGCCCATGCGGGGTGTGGGACTGGCCCAGCCCTCTGGCCCCAGGCTGGTTCTCAGCCCAGCCTTTTGTGGGGGCGGGCGGAAACCTTTTCTTCCCCTGCGGGGCAGCAAGCCAGCAAGGAGTTCTTCCAGGTGAACAGCCTGCAGAGGGTGCCGGTCCCTAAGGATGGCGACTTCCTCTTAACGGAAAGGTGCCTCCCTTCCCTCTTACCCTCCTGACCTTGGGTTGTCCCCACTGTGGGCCCTCCAGCCCCCACAGGCAGTGAGGAGAAAGGCAAAGGGATAAGAGTCTACCTCATAGGGCACCTGCTGGGATATCACAGAGATGAGATTCTTAAAGTGCAAAGCAGAAAGTCTGGCCAAGAGGCAGCACCCACAATAACAAAGAAAGTGGGGAGTGGGGGGAGACGGTGCTGGGCAGCTGGGGATGGAGGGTGAGTCTAGAAGGGGGTCCGTCAAAAGCAGAGGAGCAAGAGTGAGACACCGTCTCTACTATAAATAGAAAGAAATTAATTGGCCAACTAATATATACAGAAAAAATTAGCCGGGCATGGTGGTGCATGCCTGTAGTCCCAGCTACTCGGGAGGCTGAGGCAGCAGGATCGCTTGAGCCCAGGAGTTTGAGGTTGCTGTGAGCTAGGCTGATGCCACGGCACTCACTCTAGCCTGGGCAACAAGGCAAGACTGTCTCAAAAAAAAAAAAAAAACAGAGGAGCCCCAGGGCCCCACTGGGGCCTGTGAGCAGCTTGGGGTAAAGGCCTGGTGCCAGGACCCTTATGGCCTGTGTTGCCCACCCTGTTCCCAGCACGGCCATCCTGATTTGCCTGAGCTGTAAGTACCAGACGGCAGACCACTGGTACCCACCTGACCTGCAGGCCCATGCCCGCATCCATGAGTACCTGGGCTAGCACGCCGACTGCATCCGAGACACCTTTGGCGTGCCCCTGTGGATCTGGGTGAGGCGACATCTGGAGAGTGGTTGACCGTCAGGAAGCTGGGAGGAGGCAGGGGCCATAGACTGAGCCCACTGTCTGCCCCCATCAGGTGCTGGCGCCACTCCTTGGGACACAGGTGCCTGAGGAGAAGATGGACCGCAACAGGACCGCCATGGCCTGGGCACTGCAACAGCTGGAGGACCATTTCCTGGGGGAGAGGGCCTTCCTTGCCGGCCAGCAAGTGACACTGGCCGATCTCATGGCACTGGAGGAGCTGATACTGGTGCGATCTCAGCCGGCGGACTGGCAGCTGTGGCCAGCGTCACTTCTAGGGCCACCCCCATGAGTCAGACAGAAACACCGAGACCTGGGGAAAGCCGCAGGGCTGCCCTGAATCGCAGAGCGAGTCTCTAGCTGAACTGGGGCCAGAGCCCTGGCCTCTGCCTCCTGCCTGGGTATGGGTCTCATCCTGGCTGCTCTGGGTCTGGAGGCTGTCCACGCTGCCTGGGCCTCATGTGGGGGCTGCAGAGGGGACCATGTCCCTGACATCTTTGCCTGTGCTTCCAGCACTGGGGCTCTAGTATCCCCACAACTTTCCCATTCTTGTCCCTGCAGCCGTGGCTGCTGGCTGTGACGTGTTTGAGGGCCAGCAGCGACTGGCAGCATGGCGTGCACGAGTGGAGGCTTTCCTGGGTGCCGAGCTGTGCCAGGAGGCCCATGGCCCCATCTTGACCATCCTGGAACAAGAGGCCAAGAAACACTCCCTGTGCCCCCACCAGAGGCCTGTCCGGGCATGCTGCGTCTTATCGTCAGGATCCCCTGAGAAGTCTGAGATGGTGGCCTAGAGATTAGCAATAAAGATTCATTTTGTTCCTTGTTTCCCCCCTTTCTTCTTGTCCATCTTGCCCCAGTCCCTTGTCTCCGGCTTCAGGAGGAGCTCTGCATAGGCAGGACCCCTGGTGTCCTTGGCATTGCCACTCCTAAGGTGTGGTATATATAACCAATAGGGAAGACTGAAATCTACAATATATAAAGAGCTCCTAAAAACAATAACATGAAGAAAAACAAACCAGTTAAAAATCGGCAAATATTATCAGTGTTTCAAATATAGTAAAGATTATGAACATTTTGAATGAGGAACCAAGAGTTGCTGGTTTTATTACATTGTTGTATTATACGCATGGAGTAAAAGCATTTGCCAGTAAGTCTCATGATGGTTAATCCAAAGAAAACTCACAGATAACAAGTCAACACAACCTCATTATAAGGACGATAAAATATTAAATAAGCAAGGAACCAATTAAAGGATACAAGTGATGTTATATATTATAACTATTAAAGGATACAAGTGATGTTTCACAGGATGTAGTAACAGTCTTTGAAGTCTAGGAAACTGAAAAGATTTATTTTAACAAGCACTCCTGTCTTCCAGGACAGTTTCATGATAATAACAAACAAACAGTAGGATTTTACATTATCATAGAAACCTCCATGTTTTTTTTTTGTTTGTTTTTGTTTTTTTTTTTTAGTGCTTTCATAGCTGAGCTAAAAACCTCCATGTTTATCCATTGGATGGAATCTACTGTAGTTATTTTAACAGGGAGAATTTAATAAAAAGAATTGGAGGCATTGGAGAAGAACCAGGCATTGGAGAACTCTCTAGGCAGAGAGATGCCAGATTATCACAGAGGTAGACACTGCAAGAAGCTACAACTCCTGGGTTTGGGGGACCAAGGGAGGACATTGGAATTATGAAAACCTAGATGCTGGAGGAGAAGCCCGTGGAACTCAGAGCTCCAGGCAGTATGCTGGCATCACCTGGGAGAGGGGCAGTACCCCAGTTTGACCCTAGGTCTTCATAGGTTATGTGGCTGATGAGCATGGAATTTTTGGATGTGACTTTAGATGTCACTGCTGACAAATAAATGGGGTCCTTAGCACCATGCTCTGATCTACCTGCCGCCTCTCTTGTGGCACTGGTGGCCCACCCTGTGCCATTCCTAGCCTGGAGCACCCCAAGCAGCAACCACACTGCAGCTGTCCTGCCCTGGAGGTACCTGGTGTGGGGCTTCTCTCTCTGGTCCTATTCTGGCTGTGTCTCCCTGCAGAGATGCGTCATACTTTCGGGGACACCCTGGCTTGTTTTCTTGGGCTTTTCCATCATCCCCGCACCCTGGGCATCAGGGTTGGGCAGCGGCAGCCTGTGCCTTCTTGGTGCATGCAGGCTGCTTTTTGGTGATTCACAATTGGATGGTTTTGCTCTCAACAGACACGCTAACAAAGTACAAAGTAAATAGGCCGGGCGAGGTGGCTCACGCCTGTAATCCTAACACTCTGGGAGGCCGAGGCAGGAGGATCGCTCAAGGTCAGAAGTTTGAAATCAGCCTGAGCAAGAGCGAGACCCCGTCTCTACTAAAAAAATAGAAAGAAATTAATTGGCCAACTAAAAACATATAGAAAAAATCAGCCGGGCATGGTGGCGCACGCCTGTAGTCCCAGCTACTCAGGAGGCTGAGGCAGGAGGATTGCTTCAGCCCAGGAGTTTGAGGTTGCTGTGAGCTAGGCTGACGCCACGGCACTCTAGCCCGGGCAATACAGTGAGACTCTGTCTCAAAAAAAAAAAGAAAAAAGAAGTAAATAAACAATAGTCAGTTGGTCTCCATGCTGTGTAGGTGGCAGGTAAGTCCTAGAGAGTGACCCCAGCTGAGCCAACCATGCTGTGGGTCAGCACAGGGGTGGCAAGGTCCCAGGGCTCCTTGCAGGAGAGGAGCAAAGTGACCTTGAATCCCAGCTGGTGCTCTCAGCAGAGGGAAGCGCTGGAGGCATTGGAGACGGGTCTGGGCTCTTGAGGCATGTGACAGGGTGCTGAGAGGTGCGGGGGAAGTGACACTGAAAAGGGAATCGCAACAGGTGAGGATGGGCTTTTGAGCCATCTGAGTGAATCGAGAGCCTGTGCGTGTGTGTGGGTGAGAGTGCGTGAGTGTGGGCGCGCACAGGGCAGGGGCAGAGGCAGTGGAGCCATGCGGACGCCCCGAAGCGCGTCCTCCCGGTCTGCCGGCACCTCCACTGGAAGTGTTGAGAAGGCTGCTGCCAACCCCTGCCTCCACTCGCAGGGGCCAGGGAGGGGTGGTGGCTTAGTGGGCCACCCAGCCAGTCCGGAGGAAATGGGCTCCAGGGAGGTGCACCGAGCTCTGGCCCTGTTGTGGAGGGAGAGCACTGGCCAGAGGGCTGAGCAACCCTCAGAGGTGGGTGCAGCCCTGGGGCTGGGGCGCTTCCTGGACCTACACTCGCCTCACCCACCCCATCCACATTTTCGCTAGGAGGAATGGCATCCCGTGAGCTGCGGCAGTGGAGCTGGCCTGGCGTGAGCCAGGTGGCTGGTCAGGCCCCGAGGAGGGGGTGACAAGGGGCTAAGCCCTGCACTGAGCCTGCCCTCCTCCCAGACCCCAGGGAGCACCTGGAGCCGGAGTTCCTGTGAGGTGTGAGGTCCATACGCTGGTGAGAAAGAATTCTCAGAGCTGGGGATAGAAAGAAGCACAGAGTTTATTTTACTCTTTCTCAGAAGAGAAAGACACAGCACCAGGAAACAAAGAGAGGCCTGGGGCCGGGCGCGGTGGCTCACGCCTGTAGTCCTAGCTCTCTGGGAGGCCGAGCCGGGCGGATTGCTCGAGTTCAGGAGTTCGAAACCAGCCTGAGCAAGAGCGAGACCTCGCCTCTACTATAAATAGAAAGAAATTAATTTGGCCAACTAAAAATATATACAAAAAATCAGCCGGGCATGGTGGCACATGCCTGTAGTCCCAGCTACTCGGGAGGCTGAGGCAGGAGGATTGCTTGAGCCCAAGAGTTTGAGGTTGCTGTGAGCTAGGCTGACGCCACGGCACTCACTCTAGCCTGGGCAACAAAGCAAGACTCTGTCTCAAAAAAAAAAATAAAAATAAAAAAGAGAGGCCTGGGTCCTGAGGCCACGTGACTCTGACCCTTTATTGGGGCAGGCTAAGGAGGGCGGGCGGTGGGCGGGGGATTTATGATGGTAGCCCCATTAGCACAGGACAGCTGAGAAACTGCTGAGCTCAGCCTTTCTGTCTCACACGCGGGCTGATCACAGGGATTGGTTTCTTCTTTCTTGATAGCGGGGACATCTGGGGCGTCTCTCCTTGAGGAGGCGAGGGGAGCTCGTGCTTCTGCCGCCCACCCAGGAACTGCCAAGGCTGTTTAAACAAACTCAAGAAAACCTTTCTGTCTCCAGGCAGTGAATCTAGAGTGACAGCTGGTCAGACTGTTCCCCTGGCCCCCACCTCAGGCTCCTTTGCCTTTGGGGGACATGAACTGACCAGCTCTGGCCAATGTGAATGAGGATTTATGATTTCCTTTGTCAGCTCAGCTACTTTTAATTGCTAGGTAACATCTCTGTAGGAGAGATATTCATGCTGCTAACCCTAGGGACAGAGTTCATGCCACTCACTCTACGAGGCTGCCAGTTAGAAATTTATTTATTTTTCTTTTTGTGTTAGCCCATTAGCAAGACTGTCCTTTCCATTGCTTAAGGAAAACTCCCTGGGGAAGGTGCCTGCCCTCAGGGATGGTGGCCTCCTGCCGGCAGAGAGGTATGGTGACCTGGTGCCCACGCAGGGTCAGGACCAGGCTCTGGCTGGTTCTGGGGCTCAAGTTTAGGGGGAGGAGCAGGGAGGAGAAAGAAAGCTGATCACCCCTGACTTGGAGACCTTTCCGAACCACTGAAGCGCCTCCCTCGTTTCAGCCTGCCCAGCTCTGGGGCAGGGGCAAGACCCAGGGGCCACTCAGGGTTAGAGCTGGGAGCCTGAGCGGGCTGGAACTGCTGGGGTGAGGAGAGGCATGGGTCCCCCAGCCAGGCCTGGACAACACGGAGCCAGAGGCCAGGCCCAGGCCTGAGGTTAGCCCCTCCCCAGAAATCCCTGACGCGTCCTTTCAGAGTCGTTAGAGCTGGGCAGGCCCAGGGGAGACTCCACTTTGAACCCCGGCTCCACTCGGTGCCCACAGGCAGGTGGCGGAACTTTTCGGCCCAGGTTTCTCCTCTGTAAAATGGGAGTAATGGGGCAACCACTTCCCAGGACTTGCCTGGGAATGGAAGGTGGGCACCATGTGCTCAGGACCCAAGGGAGATCAAGAAAAGGGACTCTCAGCTGGGCGTGGTGGCCCATGCCTGTAATCCCAGCACTTTGGGAGGCCAAGGCAGGAAGATCACTTCAGCCTAGGAGTTCAAGACCAGCCTTGGCAACATAGCGAGACTCTGTTTCTACAAAAAAAAAAAAAGGAAAAATTAGCCGGGCATGGTGGCACATCCCTGTAGTCCAAGATATGTGGGAGGCTGAGGCAGGAAGATTGTTTGAGCCCATGAGTTTGAGGTTGCAGTGAGCTATGATGATGCCACTGCACTCTAGCCTGGGTGACAGAGCGAGACCCAGTCTTAAAACAATGAAGGAAGGAAGGAAGGGGACTTGCTGAGCCCCTACCAAGAGGGGCTTTAGGAAGAAAACACGGGGAGCCCCGTGCAGGGCCAACAGCAGGTCTGCCTCCCTCGCACCCAGTGGGGACCCTGATGCTGGAGGGCGGGGCCTGGGCAGTAGCTGGGAGGGGAGGTTGAAATGGGGCCCAGGAAGGAGCAGAGCTGGAAATGGGCACATGGAGTGGTTTGGGTGTGGGGAGTGGCTGCCTGGAGGGGATGTGGTGCAGAGAAACCTGGTCAAATCACCCTGGCTATAGCGATGGAGCCTCCAGGCCCTCGCCGAGTGGGCAGATCTCTGACACCCCTGCCCGCAGCGTGGCCATCCTCTTATACCTGAGCTGCAAGTAGCAGACAGGGGCACACTGGCACCCACCTGAGTGCAGGCCTG